TTTTATATATATATATATATATATATATATATATATATGAATCCATGAACATATGCGGCCCTTATGTTTTTTGTTTAGATTTTCATCTTTTAGTTTTCTTCTTTATTTCTTCTTATTTATTTTATTTCTGTATTGTTTAGTTCATCTTTATGTATGTTTGTCCCCTATTCAGTCCTTGGGAAGAACTGAATAGGTGGATAAAAATGCAAATGCAAATGCCAATCTAAACACCTTGCTGACTGTGCAACCAACCATCATCATCATCATCATCATCATCATCATCATCATCATCGTGGCAAAAGAAAGCAAAGATAGTACCAATAGTAATAGGCACCTTGGGTGCAATCCCAAAACTTCTGGAGTATGCCTTGAAGACCATCAGCATTGTCAAAATCACCATCAAATTTGCAAAAGACAGCTTTTCTTGGAACAGCTTACGTCCTGCAACGATACCTTTAACACATCAAACAACATCTGCCTATCCCAGGTCTTTGGGAAGGACTCAATAGGTGGATAAAAATGCCAAATCCAGTCTAAACATCTGGCTGACTGTGCGACCCACAATAATAGAAAACCAACAACACCAGCCCAAAATGTATTTGGGGAAGATAACAGGCAAGGAAAATGAGAGAAGAGAAGGATTTTTAGGGTATAAAGATTGGGAATACATCCAATCTTAGGTTACATGTATGCAAAGGTACAAAGAGTTGGTGAGGCTGTTGAATGAGAATGCAGAAAGACAGATTCCTTTGTGTTTATATTGGGAACTGTAATACTGCCCACCAGCCGAAGGACCACCTCTCCCTTTTGCCCTTCAAGATGTGGTACATACTCTCCAAAGTAAATAATCAAGTTAGTTCCCAGCCTCAAACCATTATTCAGGGCTGGTATACTGCTTTTGGCCAGGAGAAATATGCACAGCTGTGTGTATATCCTGAAATTTCATCCGAATTGTAGAAGAGGATGCATGGTTGTTCTTGAGTCTCCTGTGCATACAAGAATGTTGGATTGATTAAGTTGCTTTCAGAGTCTGCTTCCTTTAGAAAATCTGTCTAAATTTTGGGAACATCTTTCTAATTTAATCGTGTGTGTGTGTGTGTCTTAATTGGTAGGGAAAGGTCTCTTATATAATGAAGGAAATATATTTTTCCTTGTATGAAAGCAACTAAAATAATCTGAATGAAAAATTACTTGCACTTTCTGGTGTTCTACTGAAACTCTATTTTCCTTTTAGAAATATTAGTCTCTTTTGACCACATCAATGTAATTAGACCTTTGTTTAAAACAATTTATAAATTCCTGTTGTTCTCATGGGTTTTTGTTCTTAGCTCCATATACCTATTGTTAAACAAAAGAATATTATTAATGGGTTACAATAAGACTGTTATGTTGCTTCTTCAAAGCATACTATGTGTTATAATATCATTGTATAAGAATTGAGAGTCATCTGAGTGCTGTTTACATTTCACATTGGTATACTTTTAAGAGCTATGAAGTCCTGCCATGGGAACAGTGGATGGGAAGAACACATGCTCTTAAATGTGAATAAAAGCATTGTTACTGGTTTATGTATGATCCTGGTTTTCAAATATGTTATGAGGATCTCTGAAGATCTTCAACGAAGGAGCTCTTGAATTACAGGAATGTCTGAAAGGGAGTCTTCAATCACAGGTTTATGGTAGATCAGCTTCTGATTTTGTACTTGGCTCATTTTAACCTTAAAATGTAAGGACCACTGGAATACAGGTAGTCCTCATTTAACAACTGCCTCGTACAGCTACTGTTCACAGTTACAGTGGTGGTGAAAAAGTAACTTTGCGATCAATCCTTGCATTTATGACCTTTGCAGGTCTGTAAAGCAAAGGTCAGCTGAAGTAAGATCATAGGTACAGTCACGGTTTCACTTAGCAACTGCTTTGCTTAACAACTGAGTTGCCAGTCCCAATTGTGGTCACTAAATGAGGACTACCTGTATTGGCCAAGTTTTCACAATCCTTTTTTCCACTTTGGCATGAGAGCAAGGAAACCCGCCATACCTAGCCAGTAGTTTAATTGAATTACTCGGCACCCTAGAACATATTTCTCAGAATTCTTTGCCACGTGCCACATTTCACAGAAATATTGAAAACTGCAATAGTTGTACCAATGTTAACACCTGGCAAACTTTATTCAATCTAACCTGTGCTTTTACTCCAACAGAATACAGTTTTGTGCTTAGAGATGGGATTCTCTTTAGATACAACCAAGTTTTCTGTAGATCCAAAACACACTTGGAAATTCTATTTAAGTGTGCCTGACCGCAAAACCATTGTATTTTATTAGGACTGTGCACTCCTGTCTGCAACTCTTTAGACCATATGCATACTTTTCTGAGTCACATTGCAGCTGTGGAGCATGACCACACAAACCTAGAAAAATGCAGTTTTTTTCAGAATTACAGGCAGGTTCTATGTGACAGCCTCTTTGTGCACTGAACATCTTTTGACCTTTGATTCTGAAGCACCACAGAGCTTTCATTTTTAGTATTGTTGTTGACTCTTGTGTTAATGTTCTACTGTCAGCTGTTCGGAGGAATGATAATAGGAGCGACCACTATATCAATTGCAGCCAGTGGTTATAAACAGCCTATAATAGCTGTAGGCTCAATCTTTGGCTTGGTAGGCAAGCTTTCACATTATAATGTACCTGAAACTTGATGTCTTAAATATGACCGTTCCAAATTTACATTCCATTTATGCATTTGCTTTTAGGTCCTAACTGTATGTCCTGATAGTCATTAATATTTGTGGTATAGCTGAAATTCCATTGTGATGGTGTGCTGATTTCAAAAGCAGAGACTCTTCCTCTGAAAATGAATCATTATGGGAACGATGATTTCACAGAAATGCTGAATGATGATTTCATAGAACTCTGGGGATTAATTACTGTTTTGCATGACAGTGCTCTTTTCCAACAAATCTTTGGTGTGCCCACTGCTGGCACTCCCCATAGTTATGTACATATTCCTGAACAGATGAATCATCATAAACTTTTGGCTTAAAATTATTCCGGGAGTATGAGAATATGCTGGCTTGGAATTCTCTCTCCCTCCTCTCCCCCACAACCCCCGAGATAGCTAGAGGAAGTTGCCTTGCGGTAGGGAATTCACCCCTAAAGCTTCAAAGGTGTCTTTCCCTCCTGGAGGCGCTTATCTTAAGAGGCATGTAAGAGCTCTAGGTTGTAAACAGGCATGCTCAGAGACATAATTTCTTCCAAGAAATGGAGATAGCTCAATTCTGGCTGATGCAACCAAGATAGCTTACAAGCTCTTCTTCTGGAATGCCTTGTGTCTTATGTCTGGCCAGCTAAGAAAGCCTGGTGAAGTGTCTTTTTCCAACATGAGTACATCAGTGATAGTACTCCTCCAACATCAGAATCCTAGCTGATGCCTAATGAAGCAAAGACACATAAGCATTGCATTGCAATGTGAAACCAACTTCTATGAACAATAGATTGAGGGAGTTGTGATTTGTAATGGATTATAAGCTTGAAAGGAAAATGTGTAAGAATACATGTACTCTATTTACCAACATCTTTAATTCTTACCCTCTGTTTTGATCCTATTAAAGGGTAGCAACCTGCGGAAAATACTTCTCAATCGCTATTTTAAAAGTGACTATGGAAGCAGCATCAACGGTCCTCTGTCTGGCAACTATGGCAAACCCATGCCAAGTGGAGGTAACCACGATTTAAAGCATCTGGCTCTAGAACAGCTTCTCTTTTTTCCTAGTGTAGTTCATGTGGATATGAGACAGCCATGGAAACATATCATTTGTTCAAGCACATTCTCAATTATTTCCATGGGTGACCATCACTCTGCTTTCAAAATAGAAGGCACCCATGGTTAAACCCTGTGAAGGTTGCCTTTGAAATAAGGGGCCCTCGGGTTCTAGCTTCCTTTAGATAAAAATGAGAGCTTCTAAGTCACACTTAGATACCTGGATTATGCCCAGCATTTGCTGATCTAGAAGTTTTAGCCTGGTCTGGCTGGATATCGTCTGCACTATAATTCTTTTTTACCTCTCAGTTCAGCAGAGAGGGAGACATATTTAAACCCACTGATTTAAACTGATGGGCTTAAGATCACTCCATCCCATGCTGGTTTATGGTTTAACTGTACTATTTGAGCATATTACAGAACAAAGAATATATATCAGAGGAATGCTGCACAAAGACAAAAGCAAGGTTGTGAATTATATACATTAAACAAGTGCGCGTTTCAATTATCTTTCTTGATTTATTTTTGTTTTTTCCAAGTCAATAGAAAGGGAGGATAGTCTGGAAGCCACTGAATCGCCTGTCTCCCAAGCATAGAAACCTTAGTTCTTGACATTTTGAGATGCTGTTAGCTATAAAGCAGAATAAAACATAATAAAAACAACCCATTAAAACAACCCCCTTAAGGGGTCTTAGTGGCTGGGAAAGGCTAACATAAGAATATAATTAAATATAAAAATTTAAATGTTTAAAAGTTTCCTAAAGCACATCAACGTTGGGGTTAGGGTATCACAGAGGAGATAATTCCATAGGTAAGGTGGTTTTCTTCCACATCACCATTAGTCTGCAGTCTGCAAGCCATGGAAGAAAACAGGAGCTCTCCTGAGAATCGTAACTGAGAATCCTCTTTTAAGTTTCCTCTAGTTGTGTCCCATTGATTTCAGTGAGACCGAGATGACACCTTTTGTTTCTTTTAAATCGTCATTTCCCAACCAGGACAAATGCCAGATGTGTGGACTTCACCTCTCAGAACTCTCAGCATTGGCTCTTCTGGCTGGAGAATTGTGGAGTTGAACTCCATGCATCTGAAAGTTGCCCAGGTTGGAAAACACTGTTTTGAATGGACAGTGAGGTTTCGAAGAAGCTCAGTTGGGCATCCATCAGGCTGTGTTTTTCTGTAACAAAGCAGTAAGCATAGTCTTCTCCTTGCTGCTAATAATAGATGAAGAAGGGGTTACTGTGATAGTAGACATTAAAATAAGATTGGATTGAATAGACATTATGCAGAATCACAAGGAAAAGTATTGGCTGGTTGCTTGTGGACCTCACAGTATCATTTTCTGGTTCCTGAAACTTTTGCAAAGAGTGGTGGATAAGGTGAACTTCGCCATGATTGTGCAAGGCTTTTCCAGTGCTCTGAAGGAAAGGTAGAACTGGAAAAGCTTCTTTAAAGTAGGTAACACTACCTAGGTCTACTGTCTACTCTGATGGGCATTGATTTTCCAGATATTAGACTGTGAAGCTAGGAGCTTCTGCATGCAGAACATATGCTTTGCCATAGAATTACTGTCCTATTTCAGAGGTGGATATTTAGAGTTACATAACCTGGTTTACAATCCTATACTGTTAAGAGGCTTTGAATATGCACTTTCATTTTGTAAATTCATAGCATAGTGACTGAAATATTATTTTTTTAAAAAAGAGGGCACATACACTTTGATGCCCTGATTATAGGCTGAGTGGTCTCTAGATGCTGAATCCATTTCTTTGTCTATTCCAGAGCTGAGCCCTGATTCATGTTAGAACTTATTAGAATTTATTTTAAAAGTGACTCCCTTCTTGCTTTCTGTTCCCTTGCTGTATTAATTAAAAATGATGCATATGAAAACATAGGAAATAATCCTTAACTGAAATTTTAAGAATGCCTTTTTTTAAAAAAAAATCTTAATGTCGGCATTAACTTATTAATTAAATTCATTAATTTCAGGGGCCTTTTCAGGACAAGATGTGGACAAGTCTGGTGTGTCAATGCATGATATTCAATGTCTTTTGGATAAAGAAGGTGCTTCAGAACTTGTCACAGATGTCATTGTTAGTACCAAAAATGACAGGATATTCTCTGAAGCCATCCTGCTTGGCATTGCGTTGCTTGAAGGTGGAAACACGCAAATTCAGGTATATTTTTGGTGGTGATTTGTTAGTTTAGATATTGGTTAATGTTGAGCACAGTTCAGAGATGAAAGCCACTTCAGAGTACAATAGATTCATGTTTTAGTAGAAGCAGTAGGTCTGCCTTTATATCTTCCAGTTAAGTTAACCTTTGAATTTGCTAAGGCAAGGAAGGAAACCACACCAGGGTTGGGAATTATTAGGAAAATGACTAAAAGCAAGTATCATAATGTTGTTATGTATATAAGTCATAGGGAACTGTCCCTTGGTCTGCTTTTTTTTTTTTATAAGAACCTTATTAAGTTATAAAAAGCATAAAAATAAAAGCAAACAAGAACTAATAATCAAAGAGAAAAGTAGAGAACAAGAGAGTTAGAAATAAAGAGAGAATACAAGTGATGGAAAGTAAAGAAAAGGGAAGAAAGGAAAATTACAAAAAGAATGATTTTCAACGTCTTATACAGCAGATAAATCATATAATAACCTCTTACTCTAAAACTACAACTTAACATATAGTACATATTTTGTATAACTTCTTATTTTAACTAATCATCAAATCCATTCCCTTGGTCTGCGTTTATAAGAATGCAGTATATTAGTTGTGTAATAAGTTTTCCAATAGAGAAAAGTTCCCAAGTATTAATGTAGAAGGAATCTAGTAGTATCTTTCCAGACTAACAACGTTTATTAAAAGGCATAAGTTTTTGTGAGCTACAGCTGACTTCATCAAATGCAGCAAAGTAGCTAGATGTAATGGTATGTGGGAATGGCCTTGGGAGACAGGAGGAAGAGTCACAGACTAGGGAACAGTCAGATAAGAGGCAGCTGAGTCTGCAGAAGAAATAAGGGTGTGGCAAACAACTCAGAAGGGACCCTCCTTAGTTTCTTGGACTGTAAAGGTAAGGGGGGAGAGATGTACTTTCAGACTTGCAAGATTCTGTTAATGTAACCTTGCAATATAGAACTAAGGCTTCTGGGTGTGCTTTTTGTTTGGACTACCTCACAAGGCTGACACTAGGCTGATATAGGATTTAAATTGGGAATATAGGCAGGGGGAATGAGAAAAACTGAAGATAGGATATCTGTGCAGATGCAGATTACATGTGAGAGAGATTACAAGTACATTATGAATTATCAGTTGTAATGTGTTAAAACCCGTTGTCTTTGTTGAGCTCTTTAGAGATAGCCTGATACCTTGTTTTCTGATATATTTTTTTCTCTTTAGTATTCCTTTTATCAACAATTAAACGAGCGGAAAAAATCTGAAAAGTTTTTTAAAGTTCTATATGATCGGATGAAAATGGCCCAACAGGAAATTCGGTCAATAGTTACGGTAAACACAATTGATCTGAGCAGCAAAAAGAAGGATGATGAGATGGACATGACTGTATCAACTCCGAAGAAGAGAGGTAAAGAAAAAAAGGGAATATTTCTTTCCTTACGCTGATTTCAGTCCAGTCCAGAATAAAAACAGCTTGTGAAAAAACAGGAATAAGAGCACTTTTTTACTTGTTTGGCCTGCATTGATATTTTCTGCTGGAGCTTAAAAACATAATGAATAAATGAATGTTTTTGTAAATAATTTTTCTGCTTCTTAGGAATTTAAGATGGGCTATGGTAAAATTATATACATCAATGTACAATTCTACTGTTGTAGAATTTATGTATTTATTTATTTAATAAATTGATATGGCCGCCCTTCTGATATGCATGACTCTGGGATGCTAACAGTTAAAACAAATAGAAACAAAGTAAAACACAACCAGTGATTCAAAATAGAAATAGCTAAGTTTATTTATTTATTATTTTATTTATTATTTTATTATTTATTTATTTATTTATAATAATTAGTTGTGATTATTACAACTAATAACTAAGAATTGTTATGGAATAGTCCTGGAATAAGTGCTATCTATGAGAAGCCAACTTTTAACTGCTAAAGTTGTTTGAGCCATGATTGATGTAATACTGCCATGGTCAGCCATAAGGGTTGTGCAGTGAATTTGATTTGATCTCCAAAAGGTTTATTGAAGCATGAAAGTAGCTCTTATCTGACACAACCTCAAGCAGCACTAACTTTTCCCAGGATTTATGAACCATAAGAATTGTGCCACCAACACTTGTTTTAAAACAGTGTAAAGTAAGTACGTGAAGTGCAAATCCATCTATTTTCAGTTTAAATCTATTAAACATGATCTGAGTCTAATTGAAATCCTGCCAGACTTCATAAAAAGGAAGGAAAAGGGTTGAACAAAATCCTCTTGTATGTCTAGTGATTCAACAGCAGATGTAACCTCCCACCAGCCAAAACAATTTTTAAAACTATTAAATTTGCTGCAAATCTGAAAAGAAAATTGTCTGGCCCTGATGTAATGGGTGTTTTTAAAAGTCATGCATTTTATGGGTTTAATTCATCCCCCAAAGCCAGCCCTTGGGAAAGATCCAATAGTCTACACAAAGAATGATGAGCTTATTCTTTGTCTATATCAAACCACCAGACCGTCACACACCTGGAAGCATAGAAGTTTGGGGGAGGGGGGAGAGGAGGCAGTGACATCACAGGTGTCATTTTATGCAAATAGTGCAAATTATTGAATTGGCACGGTGATGTCATCATGCGCCTGACATTATTGCAGCTTATATCAGCTTATATCAGACCCTATGACTGAAAGTGAAGATTGCCATCGCCATCTGGTTCTTTCACAAATAATATTAATTATAGTATATTATAATTTACAATATTTAATTATAATTATAAAAATATTAAGTTTAAAAATCCCTTCACTGAGAAAAACTGGGCTAGAACTTGAATTGTTTCTCAGATTTTGAAACTGGGTTAGATTAGTCCAATTTTCTTTCATCCAAAGCTGACTGCCTGTCCTGATTCAGAACTCTCCAGAAAGTTCTAGACCTGGTCTCAGTGGTTGATTCTCCAAGAAGTAGTAAATGGTGGCAGCTTCACCAAAATGAAACCAAACAGTTTTGTTCTTTCAATAGAAGATCACACAGGGAAGGGTGGGAGAGGAGTATTGGATCAGTGATTGACAGCTGTGCCCTCAAATCCAAATAATTCTGACAATGAGGCCATCACTCGTCCCTCCAATTGTAGTATCGTGAGACTGGATTGATCTTGGCAGATAAATCTTTAGTTTTACCATTTATTCTTCTTCACTGGTGCCCACTTTCTCTTCCTGAACTCCTGTGCCATGAGGCTTTGTTAGTTAGCAGACTGACTTGGATGACTGATTGATTTTATGGAAAAAACAATGATATAAATTCTTGTACTCGCTTCAATTCCCAACAAACAGATACAGCTCACTCAAGTAGGGGCATTGTCATATCTCTCTCTTTGCTGCAAACTCTTCAGGATCTCTCTTTGCTGCAAATTCCTTTCCATTTCCTCGTGAAACAGAAACTTATGGACACTTGAAAAAAAAATCACAATTTAAAGGAATGTACCTTGAAATTTCTGGCCCCAACTGCTGTGACATTTGACATGCATGCAGGTGAAAAACAAAAACATTGTGGGCACTTAGTGGGTCCACCATTGTGGTCATCATCTTCTTTGAGTATATCCTGTGGTCGTCCCATGGACACTCCTGAAAAACATGTGGCTCAAAACCTACCAGGATAATCTCAGATTTGTTTATGTATCTAATTCCTGTGCACCATTACTTCTAAGCACCAGATACTTACTCTGTGGGTTTCCAGCCCAATTCTAAGTGCTGGCTTGAAAGCCCTGTGGGACTGGTTCCCGTTTACTAGTCTGCTGTTGTGTTCTTCTTGAAAGAGGCTGCTTTGGGTCCCTACCAACATGAAGCTAAGAGGGTAGGCAGACCTTTTCATTAGTAATCTCTATGGTCAGGAATATCTTGCCCCTGAATTTGCAAGATATTGCTTGCATTTGCAAGAACATGAAACCATCTTTTTCCAAGAGGCTGGGTTGCTTGTATAATATTTCCTGTATTGATTGATTGATTGATTGATTGATTGATTGATATATTTGGTAAACTGCCCTGCACTGGGAGAACCTCGGGCTGAATAAAAATGTTGGAATGAATGAGTGAATGAATGAATGAATGTCTAGTTCTTGTATTCCTTCTTGGAGAAAAACAAAAAACAGCTTTTTTTTTCATGCTAGGCAATTGTCTAGCTCATCTTCCAGGGAAAGAGTCTGATCAAATTACTTCCAGAGCAACATGCATCTCTTACTCAGCTCTAGAACCAGACCCTGAAACAGATTGGATTGCCTCCTTTAGTTAGAATATTGATTGACTGACATTTACAGTATATGGCCGTTCACCTCAATCAAGGTTCCTCTGGCTTACAGAAAGAAAAAGACTCAGAAAAACTAACAAAAAGAATGCAAAACCACAATACATACCCCAACAAACAACCTTGAAAAAAGAAAACAGTAAAATAATAAAATGGTAATCCAAACAGCAGTAGCATTCAAGTTCAGAAAGCTTTTTATGATCCACCCCATGTACCTAAAATGATACAATCTAGGGGCAAAATTATCAGCTGATGCAGTTGAGCAGCTGCCTATTCTCTATCCCAAGGTTTTCCTGAATTGAAACATGATTCCCTGTTAGATATAATTATTAAGTTCTCCTGTGTCTCTAGCATACAAATCAAGAGGGCCAAAAAAATAATGAAACGTGTTGTATTCACAGCCTTTCATGTTTGTATCCCCACATTGGATGCCACTATGTAAAAGTCATGGGGTTTGCATTGTGACATCACAACACATATTTTAACACTTGTGCCCTCCTCTGGTTGCAGGTGCCTAGAGTTTTTAGTTTATTTGTACTAAGGAGTTAAAGTTTTAAGTGTCCTCTGCCAACATTTATCAAACTATGTTTGCACCATAAATTATCTACCTCACTCCTTTTTTTTTCTTTATTGAGAAGGCATTGCAGCAAAATCAACAAGCCATAATTGCACATAATTTTACATTAGGAATCCTGGTTTATGGAACCACAGTGGCCATGGTATGCTATTCATCCCTGCTTGCTTGCTGCAGTGATAGTTTAGCCTAACTGTTATTCTGAAGCAAGCAAAGATTACAAAACATTCTTCTGTCAAACTTAGCTACTGATGAATAAATCCTTGCTTCCTTGGGCAGCCAGGATAATTTCAGCTTGGTTTACGTATCTAATAAACAAGGGAAGTAATACATAATGGAATGGTTATTGTGCAGAACCTGGGTTTAACAAACCAGGATTTATAATCTAACTTAATAGGGAGAAGTGGGCTTTTGTTTAAGGCTAAGAAATTTATTATAGCATGAACATTGGCATAATCCAGTTTACAAATTATCCATATAACCTTATGCTTTAATCATTTAGTTTTAAGATGCCACAAAATTCTTTGTCCAAACTGTTACAGAAGATCCCAAGATCAGATTCAAATTTAACAGAGGCATAATTGTATCTCCTTCATATTATTTGCAGTTATCTGAGGCTCAAGAAATTTTGATGGGATCCAGAGTTTGGGGGATTGAGATATGGTTGTCCCTTAAAGTGTTTTACATTCTTCTTGAGCCTCACAACTCATAACTCACTACTTCAGAAAAGATTTGGTTATATGAACCCCAGAGAGTCAGTTGTTAAAAGTACTGGACTAGGGAAGAGGAAATGTGGATTCCAGTTCTCCTTTAGGCATGAAGCCAGCTGGGCATCTTCGGGCCAGTCACTTTCAACCCTAGAAAGAAGATACTGTCAAAAATGAATGCCAAGAAAACTGCAGGGACTAACTCAGGCAATCTCCATGAGTTAAGAATTTGAAGGGACAAACACAAAAGATAGCCAGTTTGGTGTAGCGGTTAAAGATGCTAGATTGGAAGCCAGGAGACCATGAATTCTAGTTCTGCCTTAGGCAGAAAAGCCATGTGAGTGACCTTGGGCCAGTCTCTCTCAGTCCTAGGAAGAAGATTCTAGGAAACCACTTCCAACCACTTTCATGTTGCCAAGAAAACAGCATGGAGTTGTCCGTGTAAATCACCAGGAGTCAGAGTTGACTGAGAGGAACCCTAATAACAGACAAAACCTCACCGTGCTCCTTACAGCATACATTTGATTACACTCATGTTTCTTTTAACTTATCTATAGTGAGAGATTCAAACCTGCATCTGAAAGAAGGAATGAAAGGACAATTAACAGAAGCCTCGACAGCAACGTCCAAAGCTTACTGTGTGTATCGCAGAGAAATGGATCCAGAAATTGATCTCATAGGTCCAGGGTCAGATGCAGGATGTACAGATGAAAAGTCTTCAGAAGAAATGACCATGAGTCCTGCCATTGTAATCATGCAACCAATCCTGAGGTTTCTTCAATTATTGTGTGAGAATCACAATCGAGAACTCCAGGTATGTGTATTTTAAGGGTACAGTGTATTTTAAGGGTTTTTTCTTTGCCCTTGACCTTACCATGGGAAGAGCAGACACTTAGCGGTAAAACTAATGCAAGAAATTAGGGAGAATCTCTTTGGATGAGGTAGTCCTCATTTCGGATTGTTTTTTCCGAAAGAGCTATCACCATTGCACAGCTTTGCAGCTTAGGTTTCTTTAGATGTCACTGAAAATAAAACACCAAAATTATGTTGAATAAAACATAGCAGTTGATCTTAGTATCCAGTAATTGCATTAGATAGCTTCTTGAATCCAAGGATGCTTCTACCTTGCCATCATCTTCACTCCCCAAACCCTCAGTAGAAAATTGAAGGTGATCATTTGCAATTCTGTGGAGTTGAAATGCTGAGAACGAAGAGCAAAAGTCATTGTCCCATCTTGTTTTCAGTCTACAGGTAGTCCCTGGTTCAGTGACTGTTTGAAGTTATGATGGCGCTGAACGAGTGGTGGTTACAACCGGTCCTCTAAGTTCCGGCTGTCCCAGCACCCCTGCAGTAATGTGATCATGGTCTGGGCACTTATCAACCAGCTCATACTTACAATGGTTGCAGCATTCTGTAGTCATGTGATTGTGATCTGCGACCTTCCCCAGGCAAAGCCAATGGAGAAGCCAGCAGGGAAGACCATAAGTTGCTTGAGTAGCTCTCCTCTACCCTCACGCCCTCCCCCAGGTTCACTGCAGTTGCACCGTGCCTCACTGGCCACCTGCACACCCTCGTGCACCCCTCCCACCCAGCAGCAGCCACACCAAGCCCTGCCACGCTTGCACCATGCCACCCACACACCCTCACATACCCTTCCTGAGCCTCACTGCACTTGTGCCATGCCTCCTCATCCACTCACACACCCTCTCCCACCTAGCAATAGCCACCCCAAGCCCCACCATGCTCACACTGCGCCATCTGCTCACCCTCATGCACCGTCCCCAAGCCTCGCTGCGCTTGCACCGTATCTCCGCAGCCACTTGGACACCCTGATGCACCCTTCCCCACCTGACAGCAGCCACTTACCTGCCTGCCTGGGACTTGCAATGTCCTGCTGATTTCCCCACTGACTTTGGTTGTTGGAAGCCAGCAGGAAGTTGGGAGGAGGTGCTCGCTTAATGACCCATGATCCTCTCTTAATGATGGCAACTGGGACTGCAGGGATTGCCATCGCCACATGATGTGGTCATGTGACACCGCGCTTTACGACCACATCGCTTAGCGATGGAAATTCCAATCCCAATTGCTGTTGTAACTTGAGGACTACCTGTATAACAATAAAACACCCCCCCCCCCAAAAAAAAGCTTGTCCCCACTCCAGGAGCAGTAAGGAAGGACGAGGTAAGAATTTCCTGCCTGCCACTGAGGAAATGGAGAAATCATAGCAGTAATAATAGCTAGTTTCTCAGTGCCTTTAATTACACTGTGGCTGAACCAAAAATACATCATTTCAACATCTGTTGACATCATGGGAACCCAGAAGACCAGAGGTGCATTCAAACCAGCATCAAATGCTTGTTTGTAAATGTCCATAATCTATCTACAGGTCCACTTATCCCAATGCTATCAACTTTGCTACTGGGAGTGGCTTTCCAGAGCATAAGACAAAGAAGTTTAACAACCTCTACCATATTACATGAAGTTCCCTTACACTGGATTTTTCATAACACTGCATCAGATCAGTCCAATCTGATTTGTCACAGTTCACCAAAATTTCAGGCAGACCTCACAACTGATGCTGTTGGCAGCCCAAACCATATATATCTTTTATGATTGGACTCCACACTTGAATGATGGTTTAAAGAATTTAATTGTGGATTAAGGGCCCAAATTCTGTCTAGCAAACTTTCAGTGCTGGGCTGGAAAATAAACCTGCACCAGTTCTACACATATAAATCACGACTGTAGAGCAGTGTTGAAAGATAAACTTTTGTACAGGTTTGGTAAGCTAAATGTGGTTAAATCTTCCACACAACTTGAAAACGAAAGGAAGAAGATACTTCTACTCTCATCTTTGCCGCTTTCACAAGTGGTGCTGAGAAATCTTTCCAAGCTTAAATACTTAAAGGCATTTAAATATTTAAGATAGTATATATGAGTACATTGGTGTGGGAAATGTATAAAAAAGAGATACTTGATGGTTATCTTTATCACGGTCACTGGCCAACATCATAAAAGAATAGAAAACAAAGCACCAGAAGCCATGACATTGGGAAGAAAGCATAAACATTATGTAGAAAGCACAATAAAATCACTTAATGCTTTAAATATGCATTTTCTGGCCTGTAAATTAACTTGCAGGAATGTTATGGACCTGCAAAATCATGTAAATTGTCATGGTTTACTTCATTCCCACTTATTAAATGTTTTATATTACTGATCTAATTCAGATACTTGGTGGACCTGTGGCTTGCAATAAACATGCTTTAGAGCCTTGAATTGAGCTTCTAATGTTATAATCTGCCAACCATGGTTTAGAGTAACTTGCCTGTTTTTGTCCATTATTTGTTCAGCTATTTTATTTATTTATATTTCAAATCTGGTCATCGCCCATCTCAAGAGGAAGTGACTTTATTTAATTTAACTACATATCAGTACTTTACTCTTATGTTGAATGCTGAGCATAAGGCAATCAATCCATTTATGGTATGTTAATTATGATATGCTGTTAAATCGCAAAAGTACAAACCATAGTTTGGAAACCCACTTTAGACCATGATTTTGATTCTTTTCTTAACTTGATTTAAAAGTAGGTTACATCCACTCAGAATCACACCAAACCATGATAGTTATGTTTTTAAACCATGGCTTGATGTTACATCTAATTTCAGCCATTCTGTGTTTTTCATCTGTTTATACCTTTCTTTGTTTTCTTCTTTTTCCAGAACTTTTTAAGAAGTCAGAACAACAAGACAAACTACAACCTAGTATGTGAGACGCTGCAATTTTTGGACTGTATCTGTGGAAGTACAACAGGTGGGCTAGGACTTCTGGGCCTATACATCAAAGAAAAAAATGTAGCTTTGGTGAATCAAACCCTTGAAAGCTTGACTGAATATTGCCAAGGCCCCTGCCATGAAAATCAGGTAGGTTTAATCGCCACTGAAGAATCTGAACTGGATGTGAACTCAGACTTCTTTCTTAATTTTAAAAATCCCTAATTAATAATATATTGCCAGCCCTTTTATGCTTGTTGTAGATAATTCAGTTGAAAACTTGGGCTTTCTCTTGTGTTTGTGATAATTCTTCTATTGGTAGTTTAGATCCCAATTCTTGCATGTGTTTTTAGAGCAGGAATTGGGGTCTGGATTCAGCCCTGGGATGAGATCCATCCTCTCATATGCTTCAGTGGATTGGATGATATCATGGGTTTAAGGCAGCAAGGCCCTGCCTCCTCAACAAAAGCCATCATCATTGATTTTTCCATGCAGGAGGAAATGGGCAGTAATAGAAATGGGCACACAGTAAGTGTGGTCCTGCATGCATGCAAGCACTCTATGCAGGTTAACTAGGGAATCAGCATGCCCTGATTTGCCCTAATTGGAGGAGTATGTCTGCCATGGATTTCCTCCAGTTTGCATAACCCTTTGAGGAAAATGCAGATTGACTGTTGATTCAATTCCTCCATTTTGTACTTTCTCCATTGGAGAAGATGTACGGTGGTGCAGCTTATGGAGCATTTTGTCCATTGTATGTGCTTTCTCTGGTAGAAACATGCATGACAAGTGAACCAGAAAGAGCTGTCCTGTGATCTCTGATCAGCAGTGGGCATCCCTTAGAACAATGGTGGACAACCCTTCAGGAGCTTCTACCCACATTCCTTTATAGCAGGAAATGTGAGGTGATCCATGGAGTGATTCTTGTATCTTCCTTGTGTGGAGTTGCTCTGAGGAAGGCATGTGGCAGCTGTCAATGGGAAGCATGGCTCCCAGAAGAGTTTCAGTTCTGGGAAGCAGCTGCACTCAGTCCAAGAAGCTGAATGGAGTAGATGGTCAGATCATACTTGGAGGATTCTCCATCCTTGTATTAGATATTCAAGTATTTGTGGATTGCTATGAGCCCTTTATTATAGAGTTGTTACAAAGCCTTTCTCTTTTATTCTAGAGCTGCAGGGAGTCCAGCTGATGGACAACTCTTGTTTTCTTGCTCCTTTCTTTTGTCCAACACTGTACCTCCTATAATCACTTTGGTAGGCAGAAAGGAAAATAAATAACATAAATAAACACTCACTGCCATAAATAAGCATGGTGCTACTCATAACTATGTCATGGGTGTCTGCGGAGCATTATTATGACAGGCATGATGTTTGTTTGTTCATCCGTAGATTCCTGCAGGATACTGCTATGAGAAGCAATGTGTTGTTGTAAGGTAAATGGCAAAGCACGCATGATGCATGACAGAAATGCCACAACCTAAATCAGGCATCGAAACATGAACATGTAATGGTAGCATTTGCATGAGGATGGCATTGCCTATACACTGTCACTTTGGCATCATGGTGGTTTGATGAAAATGTCACTGCTGACAATTTCACAGGGTTTGTTTTGTTTTTGGAAGGGATTTTTAAGCATGTTAGCACAGAAAGAAGCAGCAGGGCATTTGGGTAGATTTTGTAGAAGAATAAGAAAAGTTAATAATTGTGCTGTAATGAAACTAACACCCGTAAACAGATTTGTCTCTGCTTTCTTCTGCAAGAATCTTCCAACACATGTCTTGAATTTGCTGTAAGGATATTAGAGTTCATACTTGTAAACAGTTCTCAGGCTGAAAAATAATGAAGTTTAGGCAGTGTCAGAATGAAGAGGTTTAATATGCTTTTTTAGAAATAGGGTGGTATTTATTCAAGTCCCCAAAGGAGTTCAGTAGAATGGCACAATTTGGGGCACCACACGTTTTTGTGATGCTCTCATTGTCAGATATCAGTTAAACATACAACATCATAATTCAATACAATAGATATACTATCTAAAACCTGCAATGCTGGCCATTGCTTTTATAAGTAGTACAGGTAGCCCTCATTTAGTGACCACAATTGGGACCGGCAGCTGTGTTGTTAAGCAAAGCAGTTGTTAAGTGGGAAATCATGTGACCATGACTGTGCTTTTCTTTTCCCCACTCCCCCGCCCTTTGGAAAGTTCACCCCAATGCTGGGATAATTAACAAGGGAATGAATGTGTGTATTTACATTCATTGGAGAGGAAGGGATTACAAGAGAGTAAGCAGGCACACAATGGCTAATGCACATGGAAAGCAAAGCTGGTGCTGGCAGCCATGAGTATACTATGCCAACATCCTGGTGTATTTCCCATTGTGTGTCTGTTTAGTCTCTTGTAATCCCTTCCTCTCCAATCTCTCCACTTTGCAAAGGGGAAAAAAAGAAAAACAAAGGTCAGGCACAGGACAGTGCCTACTGACTGTAATGGCGAACACATGACTGAAGGAGGCTGTGGAGGTCGTAAATGTGGGCATTGATTGTAAAGTTATTTTTTCAGCACTGTCATAATTTCAAACAGTCATTGAATGAGGTAGTCGGTAAGCAAGGTCTACCTGTATGTTGAAAATGAGAGTTGCCATTTTTAGACTGCACTTGAGTATTCAAACCCATTCTTGATTGTATAATAGTCAGAAAGGAAGTAGTATCAGTACAATACTATTTCCACTGTTCATCGCTACAAGACTGAGCAACAAAGAAAGTCATAGATTTAATTGCTATGTGGAAGATTCAGGATGAATTTACATCATTACTAAGAAAAGGGATTTGAAAAGTTTGAAACCGATAAAGTTAGCATTGGTTGTTCTTGATTATGTTTTGGTAGATTTGCTTGGGTCCAATTCCTGTCCAGATTGCAACACTTTCGAGAGAAGGTTAAATTATATTACAAAGAGAGAAAGACTATCTTAAGTCAAACAAGATGTGGTGCTAGCTGCCAGTTTGGCTGGCTTCAAAAAAGGTTGGACCAATTCATGGAAGTCCTAGAGATCAATGGCTATTAGCCTTGATGGCAATATGACTGTCTCTGAAGGCCATCTGCTGGGAGACTCGTGGGCTTCCTTGTGCAGTAGGTTGGCCAATGTGAGAAGAAACTGCTGGACTAGATGGGTCAGGGGCCCTGCTGCTAAAGGGCATTGCTTAAGTTCTTATGTTCTTAAGCTCAACTCCTGTGACTACCAAGACAGATTCATGTAGTTTTCTTTGTCAACATGTGGAAGTGATTTGCTACTGCTTCTTCCAAGATGTTTTGTTTTTTCAAAATTCTAATCTAGCTTGTAGTCCTTGTTCTGGTGATCTCCCATTCAAATACTAAGTCCAACCCTGCTTAGTTTTTCTGAGACCAGCCAAGATCAGCTAGATGCTCCTATCTGCTACAATAGATGAATATAAACTACATAATTAATAAGTGAATACAATATGCAAGACCATTTCTATTTCTACAAATCAATTGAAAAACTCAATTTGTATTAAGTGAGGCAAAATGTGTGAATCCTACCTTTCCAGATTATTTGTTGCACAGGGAGCACAAACTGTTTAAAAAAAAAACCACAAGATCTGTTAGGCTTCTGTTCATCTTTCAGAGAAAGGGGGAGAGAGAAGAAACAATATTTTATGCAATGTGTTGTTATTTTAAATTATTTCTTTATTTGCCTTTTGTAGACCTGTATAGCTACACATGAGTCTAATGGCATTGACATAATCATTGCACTGATTCTAAATGATATCAATCCTCTTGGGAAATATCGGATGGACCTAGTGCTTCAGTTGAAGGTATGGAATTCTACTACATATGCACCTTGAATTTACTGGGCTCCCACTGTTGCCCTTCGAGATGGATGTTAGAAGGACAGAACTAGCTCAGAAACATCCATGGTCAGGAGAAGAGGGGCTCAGCCCTTGCCCTACTCCTGGTGGAGTCCTAATTGCTGCTGTGCTGGTTCTAACAAGAGAGACAACATCTGAACGTAAATTCCTTATACAGTTCCTGGATCAACAAGCGCTCCACTATAGGCTGGCAAATATGTGAATCTTCATTCATGGGCCACAGTGCTTTTTAGCACAACTCACATATTCAGCTGTGAATAATCAAAAATCAGCAGGTGGTCCTGTATGGATGAACATGCACTAAAGATTGCGCAGAGTTAACAATTGTTGGCTCTATTTCATTGAACCTATATGTTCAGAGAGTCACTGATTATGTTGACAGAGTCCATGTTAAGAGGCCACTGACTTTTCACTACCTCTGCTCCTCATATCCTGAAATTTACCCAAAGTTCGACACTTTAGCTCATAGTTTATGGTGATGAAATCTACAGTAGCACTGCAGAGACTTGTTTAGAAATTGAGCTTTCCCTTCGACCTTTAGGGTGAAACCAGTTTCTGGTAGTCCTTCTTTTCCAGAAGTGTCCACACACAATTTGGTGTTTTTTTATTTTACATACATACATACATACATACATACATACATACATTCTCCAAAGCATTTGCCTTTGTGATTGACTTGGCTTCCAAATGCTGTTTCAGTTGATGGTTTCCAGGTTTTCTTTATCACGGTCATTACCCAGCACAAGGAAATTGGTATGCAAATATCCAAAATTGAATTGACAATATCAGGGTTGTTAGGAGAAATACGTTCAAAGAATTTTGGCTAAAAACAATACGCTACGTTGCTTGCCCAGGGTACACATGTGTGACAAAAGAGAAAAGAGATTAAAATTAGCAATCCAGGAAGTATAAACTTTAAAATGCTTAAAAATATTGATAGATAAAGCGATAAAATTATCTAAAGGGGCCAGGTTTTCTGTATAATGAATGTCTCTGTGTCTCTGTGTGTGCATGTTAGAAAGACCTTGAAATTTTAGATACAAATGATTTGTACTTCCATTTACCACACTCCTTTCATTTATTTTTCTATTGGTTTAAGCACTTAAGAAACTTGGGTATATCCTTACAGTTAAATAAATTCAACATTGCAATTCATAAAGTAACTATAAAGTTCATTCTTCTATAAATAAGAATTTCTATTTAAGACTTTTTGAATGGCCTCCAGACACTTATCACTGGCCTTTGGAGTAGTTTAGCACAAAGGTGTGTGGGGGCAAGAGTAGTTAAGATGGCATCATGATGGGCCTTTGAAGCCTTGCCCTTTTTACATCTGGATATCCCCGGTCTGGAAAACAACAATAGCAACAACAGAAAGGAGGACAAGAGAGAGAGAGCAGAGAAAACCAATCTAAAAAGTAGGATGTCACTCAGTGTTGCATGTCATATCCAAGCTGGGCTGAAAAACTTCTGCCTGAAACCTGGAAAGTGTTGAATTACTGCATAAGATGGACCAATAGTTTGATTTTGTGGCTGAGTTCACATGTTGTGTTAAGCCATAATTTTGTTAGCTATGGATTTTTGAACAACTGATGACTTTAGACATCAGAGCCATAAAACATGGTTTATGGACCATAACAGCTAGGCTCACACAGCTAGATCAAATCAAGCAAGCCCCATGTTGATGAAGTTTAGACCCAAGGTATCTTTCACATAGTTTAAAGTTGATCCAATTTTTTTTTTTAAGTTTCTCCAACATATCTTTTATTTAACAGTATTCTTGTCTAAATTCACTAGAGAGAAGACCTTTTTCCAGATAGTTCCCAGCTCTGGAACTTCCTCACCAGATAGGTTTTCACCAGACAGACTCTTTCTTTGAAGACATTCCAGTGATTTTTATTTCATTGTATTAATTATAGAAAATAGAAAGGCAGGACATTTTTCTTTGAAGACATTCCAGTGATTTTTATTTCATTGTATTAATTATAGAAAATAGAAAGGCAGGACATTATATTGTACAATATGGAATTTTTATTCTGTTGCACTTCTAATGGAAAGTAGAATAGTAAAAAATTGTGAGATCGTATTGAAATTTAGTGGTGAAGAATACATTGTAGGTGCTATATATTTTTTACAGCTAATTTAATGAATGCTTGCAAAGCTTTTTTCAAACTTGACAAATTTTGCCAGTATTGTCTTATTTTATTTTATTTAGTTTCTTATGATATTCTTTCAGGCATGTCATCTTTTTAGGGTGAACTTTGGGAACCACTCTGATAAAAAAGAAGACTCTGTAACCATGTTCTAAATTATTTTAACCAAATGAATTTATTCCTAAGAAACAGATGCTTTATGAGCAATGCATATTTAACATGGTATGCGCATAATAGTTTTCTGCACAAAAACATGGTGCAGACTTCATACGGATAACTTTTCCCTTGTTTTTAATGCTTTTACACATATTCTGAACTGTGAACCTATAGCAAGGCAGAGTGATTGCATGTCTGTCCATTCTGGCGCCTCTTACACATATGTAATATGATTCTGATATTTTGGTCAATGTTTTTCAGAATCTCTGCCTTTAGACATTTATTTAATTATTTAACTTCTATGTCGCTAAATCATAGTTGACTTATTACCAAACAAACAAAACCACTACAATACCAGCAGATCAAAATAAAACTAATAATAAATGAAAGACAATGCTAATAAATAATATATTAACAAGTAAAATCCAGTTGCAGACGATGCTTAATCAAACCCAAAGGCTCTCTGGAAAAGTACAGTCTTTTCTACCTTCTGGATGGCCATCACTGAAGGGGCCAAGTGAGCTTCTGCAGAGAGGTTGCTCCCGAGAATTGAAGCCATGATGAAAAAACGGTGCTTTCTGGCTCCCAACCAGCTCACCTCACAAAAATGGGAGCCCCAAACAGTTTGTCCTGGGGTGACCTCCTTGGATGGGCTGTAAGTTGAAACTAGTCCTTTGAATTGCACCTGGAAATCCATCATGACACCTGGAAATCCAAAAGATGTCCATCTACATTGATCAAAGCAGCAGATGGCATGGAAACAGACATATGAAGAGGCTGTCTTTACTTACATCCAGCATTTATAAATATGTACTTACTTAGTTTGGTTATATGCTGATAAAACCATTTTGTCATATATAAAACAAAACAAACAGTAAAAGATGCCAGGCATTTAAAACTCTTGTCTCATAAAGAAATCTGCCCCTGCAATCTCAATTAAAGCAACTATAAGGGTCATTAATCCATGAAATGGATTTTAACTATGTCTCAATTTGGTTTGATGCCTTCAGAATAATGCCTCCAAGCTTTTGTTGGCTATAATGGAAAGCAGACATGATAGTGAAAATGCTGAAAGAGTCCTTTTCAACATGAGACCAAGGGAGCTGGTAAGTATAGTTTTACATGGTCTTATAATTGAAAACAGCAAAAAAAAAAATTTTTTTTTAATTGATTCTCTGAGATAGCAAATTGGTTTTGGCTGCCACAGTGACTAGAACACCTCAAAATGGAAGCAAAGATACAAATAGTTCCTTAAGGAGGTCAAGCAGGCATGAAACTTGTCCTTATGACTTCATTAGCTTGATTCGTCCCAAGCCTTATTGAACGTAATTGTTTTCTTAACTGAATTATCATATCATGGTAAACTGTCTGGAACAATACTGCATGCAGAGGAATTAGCCTGCTTTGATTTGAGATAGATGTCTAGGGATAAACATGGACAGGAATATAGATTAAATATGTATTATAAATTAAACTAAATATGAATCAACAATAGATTGGTGAATGGTGCAACAGCAAAGATGGAGGAATAGCAAAAATCATTTAGTAAATTGTCCAAAAATCATGGGGACGAGGAAGAGAAAAACTTGCTCTTAATTTAGCAGTGTTGATGGTGAAAGTAGTTTATGGCTATAATTATGCGCCTTTAAAGTATTACAAGATGGCAACAAAGATTTAGAGTTTTCTGTAGATCTGCAATAGATACATAGAAACTCTAAATCTTTGTTGCCATCTAGTGGTGGTTCTGATTTCTACAGTTCAAATAGAGAGCCTTACAAAAAACTCTTTAGTTTTTTCTGGTGCTGTATTTCTACACATAGTCCTAGATACACACACAGGATAACTGTAGGCTGCAGCAGCTTACATACAGTGTAAGGAGAATTGCCCCCGCAAATTAATATTTGAAGCCACTCAACTGCCCAAGCAAGATGAAAAAGATCAGCATCACTTTGCATTTTATATGTTTAATACAGATATCTCTGGATACGCATTGGTTCTCTTCTAATTCAATCCCAGGCCTCTTATCATCACTTTTACTGCATAGCTCTGCCACTTTCTCTGAGACAAGCTAAGTTACAGGACAGAGTCTTTTAATTCAGACCTTTCCAAGACAGATGGGTATTTTGAGAAAACATCCCCATTCTCAGCTGCTCTCTTCTGATGTACAATGACAGATTTCTTGTCTGATTTGCACGATACAGCTGGCTTCCCTATACTCATGTTTTCTATGCTTTGGAATTACAATTTTCTGAATTATGGCACCACAACATCTACACGACAACGTGTATGCACAGGATCAGAGGACTTGTCAGACTTTTCTGAACCCAACTTTTGACCTTATAGAGTTTGCACCATGGCTGGTAGCATCAGTGTTTCTTGTCTTTCAGCGTGCTACCAAGCCAATTTTAAGGTATTGGTGTAGGAGCAGAGAGACAGTTTTTAGTCCTCCCTCAACCACAGAAGTTCCATGGGTAACTCTGGGATAGTCACTTTCTCTCAGACCCACCATATCTCGTGGGGTTGTTGTGGGAGGAAATAGGAGGAGAGAGTCTACCACCTTGAGCTCCTAAAGGAAACGTTAGGATCAGTCAATCAATCAATCAAGGTTAAACATTAGTTGTTGACCCAGAGTTTAATATGCCCCATTTCCAATTGCAAGTTCATGATTTTTCCCTATGTTAGCATCTGGTTTTGATAAGAATGTTACCATTTCTCCTTCTCTGGTGGCACTTAATTCACACTGCCAACTTCTACAGTGATGGTTGTCTGATTTTGAGGAGAAAAAAGCAAATGCTTTTTAATGCTATCTGCGAAATCAAGATTGCCTGGCATTTACAAATTATTTATATTCCTGAAATGAAGCTGTTTGATCAGCAACTTGGGAATGAGGAATCCCACTTTTTAGATAGTTGTTTCCCTCTCTTCTTTTTAATAGGCATTTCCCCCCCCTTTTTGCTAAGAATAATCTAAGACTGCATTTTTCCATTGCGTGTTTCTTTCTGTCAGGCACACTGAACTTTTTGAGAAACTAGACTGAAAAAAAAAGGCAACATTCTTGTTATTATGAAAATGTGTAGTTAGGTAGCTGTATCTCACCAAAGATTAAGACAGCAGTTTATTAAAGAATCCCAATTAATTCTTCAGAACCAACAGGATGGAACTGGAGCATATGGAAGAGAAAAAAAGATATTGATAGTTTGGGTAAAACAAAAAGGTGGTGTCATGCCTTCAAGAGACTGAGAACAACAGTCAACAGACTGGACTTGGATCTCTACTGCAAGGCAGAAAATAGTTAAAACCACCCTCTTAACTTCCATCGGTGATAACACTGAAATTGGTGTATTAAAGCACATTTATCAATAATTATATCTGATTGGATAATTTTATCAGCAACTCCAGGGAAAAGAAATGTAGAACTGGACAGTGGTTCTTCTTAAGTTTTTTGTAAGTTGAACATTTCCCCAAGATTGATTTTGTTGAAGGAAAGGACTTCAGATATTATCAGCATGGATATTCTTCAGGGTAATCGGATACAATTTGCTTTCTAGGTGGATGTAATGAAGAATGCATACAATCAGGGTCTTGAGAGTGATCAGGAGGAGGAGAATGGAGATGACAGTATTTCGCCAAAAGATGTTGGACATAATATCTATATATTAGCTCACCAGGTATGTTGTTGTCTTGCCTTTGAGGGCTTTGTAGTACAACTCACTATGGAACTGGTCACAAAAAGTCCCACTGCATCTGTTTCAGACCTGCCATTCTTACAAAATATTCACCCTGAAACTGTTGTATTTTCAGGTGGGCATTATAACAAGTTCAGCATCTGCAAGATCACCCAAGTTCTTCCCATCTGTATTCACCAGGGGTCTGGGCAATTTGTTGCATGGAAGCTAATATTGTTATTCAAATATTTCTAATCTGTTTATTTAATTCTTTTGATCATTTCTTATTAAGTTTGGCTTCATGTATGTTGGTTAATTTTCAAAATACATAATACTGTGAAACCCATGTTGGCTTGACCTGCTGGTGGTTGTAAATTGCCTTTCTTAAATTATATATCATCATAAATATAGCATAATTTATAGCCTAACCTCCCAATCGGTGGTGATAGGGAGCAAGAGGTCCCATCCTCGGCCCCTCCTCTGTGGGGTGCTACAGGGTTCGGTTCTCTCTCCGCTCCTTTTCAACATCTACATGAAACCACTGGGTAAGATCATCCGCCATCATGGGATGAGGTATCATCAGTATGCTGATGATACGCAATTATACATCTCCATCCCAGCTGAGGTAAGTGATGCCATGACCACCCTTTCGTGGTACCTGGAGGCTGTAAGGGTCTGGATGGGGAACAAGAGGCTTCAGCTGAACCCTGGTAAGATGGAGTGGCTGTAAGTTAATGGCTCCTCTGTATCTGGGACTTTGTCATCTCTGGTGCTACAGTAGATAGGGTAGCCCCAGACAGACCCAGTGCATAATCTGGGGGTCCT